AGATCCAGAAAAGAAAATCTGTCATTTTTAGCAGGTCAGCTGTGGAATTAAAGGAACTGCTAAAAGTATAAACATCTGTGTTAAATCATTTTCATTTATTCAGAAGCCACACCGTCGCACATCGTACAGGGTTAGGGTGATGAAATATTATTTCATCAGTTGAAATTATTCAAGTTTTATAATTTGATAGATTATAGTATCGTACAAGTTCTGTATAATATTCATAAAAATATATTACCTGTAATTATTCAGTTCCATTTGGTTAAAAGAGTCAATATACAGCAACATTAAGGGAATAGAGATTAAAAAAAGACGCCATTTTGAACAAGTTTAAAGGAACATTGAAATGCCCTCTCTCACCTTGAATAGCAGGACCCCACGCAAACAGGTAATACCAGGACAGGTGCAGGTCCACCAGTGTTTCCTCTCTGGGGACGTAGAGTGGGCGCTTGAAGCGGCAGGTCACCCGATTGTTCTCGAAGATCCCCTCTTCRTCTCTCGCCGGGTTCCTCTTGATCTCTTTGGCCCACTGGCCCACGTTGTAGAAGTGATGGATCCTCACGCGCCCGTTGTCRTCGTGAACGCAGCCCATGACGTCGTCTCCTCCCTGATGGAGCCGGAATCATCAAGGAAGATTAGATCACAAGATMGTACACTAAACATCTGGAACTTTTGTTCAAAAGTTCTGGTCAGAAGAGAAGAAACTTTTCTCAGCTTTGATGCTTGTCTGTTTGTCTGTCGTGTTAGCAAAATATCTGATGAACTAGTTGACAGATTTCAATGAAACTCAGGAAAAAATATTTTAATGGAATTGCAGTCATGCTAAAATTTAATGATGTAGTAGCTGAGACTGATCCTCAACTTCTATTGAACGCTAACTGACCATCAAAGTCAAGTATGTCTGTTGGCAAAATATCTCATGAACCACTGGATGAAAGTGATTGAGTTCACTTATATAAAACTGTATAATCAGTGGATGTGTATGGGATAAATCTTGTGCCAGCAGGAATTGAACTGGAATTGCTCAGATGGAATTTGAATGTGCATAATTTCAAATTGAATGCATTGGTTTGAAAATAAATTTCACTAAATTGAAACTGAATTTAATGGTTTTGACAGATTTATGTTTCACTTTGGTGAAGTTTTCCTTCTGTATGTAACAGAGTTGATGCAATCCACTGTAAAAGTGACAAAAATAGACAAAGTTATTTTATCACAGTGATTAATTTGACCTATATGTAGAAAATGTTACATTTACATCACATCATGGATCAGTCAGCAGCAGCATCTGATCAATATGTGATCCTATGTGGTCTTTTTTAACCGTCGGTTTTCTCTCAGTTTGACTGGTGAGATATAAAATCAGTTGGAATACAGTGAACAAGGCTGACATTTTTC